TCCTGCTCCCTCGCGGGGAGAAGACCGCTGCAGCCGGAAATCCGCTCCGGCCTAATATTTAACTGGCTTTGCTCCCAGGGCCTCCTCGCAGGTTCCAGCCAGTTCTCAGGGAGCAGAGGACGGGATGTGTGATCCTCAGCACCCTCCACCAGGCTCCCAAGGTTATGTGAAGTCAGGAGGTGGAGGAGGAGCCTGGGGGGCCAGTCAGCCCGACCTGGCAGAGCAAGTCCTCACTAAATAGGTCCTGGGTGGATAGAAACCACCCTCCGCCCGGAGGCGCGCCCAAGTGCCGGCTTGAATTGCAACCACCTGACTGTGGCCCATGGGGGCGGGTCACTGTGCTCAGGAGGAAAACTCCACTGCAGGTGGGAAAAAGCCAGCTCCGCTTGAGCAGACTGTCTCTCCCAGCACAGCTACAGTCAGGCAACACTGGCCAACTGCTGGCAAGGCCAGGTGGCCAGCCTGAGCCTCAGTGGGCCCGTGGCCTGGGAGAGGCCACCCACGTCCTCCCGGAGGCCGCTGTGAGTTGGCTCTGGGCTGTCCAGGTGGCACGCCACCTCCTTGTCCACTGCCCAGGACAGTCTGGGCAGCGGGGGGGAAGCTGGGGTGTTGGTCACCACAAGGGCCTCACTATGCCCAAGAGCGCTGAGCACAGTGTCTGCGCACAGTAGGTGCTCACGAAGCGCAGGGTGGGTGGACGGACCTACTCAGTCCTCTTGGAAAGGGCAGGAGAGCAGAGTGGCACGGGACCGAGGGGCACATTCCTGCAATTTTGTAAGACCGCAAGTCCGGATATTCTTTTGAGTGGCTAAGGAAACTGGAAGGACGTCCCCACAAGACCGTTGAAAACGACGTGAGTTTGTGGCCTGTCACACTCCTGCCCAGCGGCTCCCCCCACTTTCCCAGCGAACCCCACTGGCACCCTCTCCCTGGAGCCACCTCCTCACTGTCCGAGTGCTCATAAAACAATGTCAACTATAAAAAAATCAGATGGCCCTCCCTGGTGGCACAGCGGGTAAAAGCATTGCACTGAGAAGTTAAAGCCACTTCCGCATGAGTTCGATTCCCGCCTGCCCTGGAGGTGACCACAGGGCGCGGCAGACCTCTCCTGATCCGCCCGCTGCTCCCCTCAGCAGTGTACTTCGTAGATCTGCCTGTTCTGCTCCCCACTCTGTCTCTGGTGAAGCCTCTCACCGCCCCTGAGCCTCTGGCCTGTACCCCAGTTCGGTATGTACAAATAAATAAATCTTAAAAAAAAAAATCAGAACCCTGGTCCTCCCTGGTGGTGGGGAGGTTAAAGTCTCAGCGCTATCAAGCCGTCACCAGCCACTGCAACCTGAGTTCGATTCCCAGCCAGGGAGAGACCCGCAGGGCGCAGCAGACCCCGCCTGTCTCCCGCTGCTCCCCTCAGCAGTGTGTTTCAGTCAGTCCACTGTTCTGCTCCCCACTCTGTCTCTGGGGAATCCTCACCCCTGCACCTCTGGCCTACACCCTGGTTCTTACATACATAAATCAAATCTTTAAAAAAAAATCAGAGCCCCAAAGTGGGTATATAAGACAGGTATAAATTTATGAAAAAATTTAGATGTAGAGGGCAAAGACAAGCTAGAAGACGATGCCAATGTGAATAGAAACGAGGGTGGTTTTTCCTTTCTCCTTGAGGTATTGAAAATATTACTCACATAGCCTGCAAACAGTAGTTCTGACTTTTCTGAGATGAGCATGTGTTAGAAGTTGACTGCTAAGGACATGGAAAGATGCTCAACTCACTCCAAATAAAGGACCTACCTGAAGAGGTGTGGGGCAGGAATGCCTGCTCACCAGGGCAGCTACGCAGCCACATGGAGGCAATCACGGGGCTTTGCTGTGCCCGTCTGTAACTGCAGAGCAAGGCGAGGACGGCCTGAGCACCCTCTGCGGGAAGCTGGCTGGGAGGCAGCACGGTGTGTCAGCATGATCCGTGGGTTCCCGACACCACGGTAGGAAGCAATTTCTGCCGTGGTTTGGGGACAGCATGGCAGAGACCAGGGGAAGGGTGACCCTTTGGGGGTAAACACGGGAAAGCCCAGGCTCGTTTGTGGCTGCAGAAAGCTCCCGGAGAGGATGTTGCTGCAGGAGTCTCTGCCCGGGAGAGCAGACTGGTTGGGACTCAGGCGGCAGAAGTGAATTTTCATTGAACATTCTTCTGGGTTTGTAATCCTGAGCTGTGAGCATGTGTTACTCTCCAAGTTGATTAAAAATAAGTCAACGACTGAATTAAATTTCTGCAGAAAATCTCAGATGCCACCCCTCCACCCCCACCCCCGTACTTGCCTGAGGCAGCGTTCCACGAGGGGGTCACTCCGGCAATACTGGGGGCCTCCGTGCCTCAGGGCATCCTCGGGGTTGGCAAAAGCCTGGAATAACCGACTGAGTGTTACTGTGGGTAGACGGGCCTCCCGATCCCTCGGGTCTCACCAGCCTCTGCGAGCTAGTTCTGTGGGGGTCATTCTGCGTGGACAGAATGTCGGTGGCCTCCAGATTCAAGTGTGGAAGCCCAGCCCCTATGTCACGGTGTTAGGAGGCAGGGCCCTTGGTTAGGAGGGTGCAGCCCTCGTGAATGGGATCAATGCCCCTATAAAAGAGACCCCAGACGGTTCTCCCTGGTGGCGCAACAGGTTAAAGTACAGCACTATGAAGCTATACACAGCCACAGCAGCACACATTCGATCCCCGGCCAGGGAGTGACCCACATGGACCAGCAGACCTCTCCTGTCTCCCTGCTGCTCCCCTCAGCAGTGTATTTCAGTCCATCTGCCTGTTCTGCTTCCCACCAAGTCTCTGGTGCATCCTCTCACCCCACACCTCTGGCCTGTGCCCCTGTTCTTGTATGCATAAGTAAATAAATCTTTAAGAAACATAAAAGAGCCCCCAGAGAGTTCCCCTACCCCTTCAACTACGTGAGGACAGACGGAAGAGATAACTGTCTATGAATCAGGTTAACAGGCTTACACCAGACACCGAAACCGGTGGCGTCCGGATCTTGGAATCCCGTTTCCAGGCTGTGAGAAATAAACCTCTGTTGTTACAAGCCACCCAGTTCCTGGTATTTTGTTACAGCAGCTCGACAGACTGAGGAGAGGCCTCCTGCCTCTGCTCTGTGAAGCTCACAGGGAGACGGGGAATGGCCCGGAAGCCAAGGTGGGGAGCGTGCGGGTGCCGGCGTCAGACGCCGGCTTCAAACCAGGCTGTGTGGCCTTCGCAAGCGATGCCCCTTCTGAGCCAGGCCCTTTCCTGCGAGCAGAGTGAACAGGCACCCGCCCCGGTGACAGTGAGGGTAAAGCTCAGTTGGGTGGAAGAAGCACCCCGGGGAACAGCGGTGGGGGCGGGGGCAGGCGCTGCCCAGGTATCTCTGCTTCAGCTACTTCATCTGGGGACTGTCCTGTCTGTACCTGTGCTGGGGGGCTGAGCTTGGCTCCTGACAAAATCCCTGAGACCCCAAACTCCCCCTGCCCCCCAGGTGATGCCAGAGCCAGCCTGTCCTTGCCTCTGAACTGGGCCAAGGGGTCCACCAGGGCACAGTGGCCAGAACAACTGGTCTCTGGACGCCTGGGAGGGTCGTCAGTAGCCCCATGTGGACCAGGATGGTGGCAGCACCCCGATGAGGACCCTCCCACCCCCTGCCCACGGGTTGCCTGGCCACACTCTGCCCAGCTCACCTTTGGGCCAAGTTGTGCTGTTTTAACTCAAGGCCTGGGGTTAAACTCTGCTCCGCAGAGCCTGCTTGGAACTGGCGCTCGAGACTTTCTGAGCAATCTGGCCGAAGAGTTGGGAATTTCCACTTAACACCTGCTTTGCTGGCTCTACCCTAAAAATATCAGATCTGTGTGCTGGGGAGCGGCTGGGGCAGATGGAAGCCTGGGCTGGACCCGACCCTCTTTGGGAGTCACAGAGCTTCTGGAAGTCGGTCACGGATGGGGCTTACCGGCGGCACAGCACTCTGGCCACGCCCCGTCCCCTGCCCCATCCTGCGGGCCGTGGCAGCAGGAGAAACCAGCTACAGCACGTACCTTCTTCCGAAGCCTCACTTGGCCCGTGATGATGGCCACCACGTACATCTTGATGACCAGCAGCGTGCTGCAGAGCAGGAAGGCCGGGAGCGCCTGGTTGACCTCCATGGCCAGGGTCAGGGCTGCGGGAGGCATCTGGACAGCAGAGCTCCTCCGGGGAAAGGGCAAGAACAGGGAGCCACTGGATCTCAAATACCGAGGAGGAGGAGTTGAGGAGTTGGCCTGCAGAGAGGGAGGGAGGCTGTTCTCAGCACCGCCCACCCCACCAGGGCCTGCCCACACGGAGGCGGCTCAGCCCTGATGCTGCAGGCAGCGGAGGGTGCAGCCCCGGGCTGGACCACGCCCCCGGCAAACCTGACATACTTTCCCAAATCTTGCTGGGGAGGGTGTTCAGCCAGCCTGACTCTGGAGGGGCAGCAAAGCGGGTCACTTACGGGAACCCCCAGGAGGTGGAGCTCACAGCGACTGGGCACCCCCTCCGCGGCCCTCCTCTCCGGACCCCAGACTCGCAAGTATGCCAGCATAAGTCATGTGTGTGGGGGGGCAGGCTAGCCTAGATTTTTGGGGTGACACCGTTGCAATCACAAAGGTCCTCCAAAGAAAGAGCAAAGCTGTAAAGACAAGCAGAAGGCAGAAGAGGCAGCAGATTCCTTTAGAAGATGCGAGTGAAGCAGCGTCTCCCTAAAAGCACCCGTTAGGAGCCTTGAACCTTGACTTCTCCCAGACTCCAGTCTGCAGAATCGTGAGATCAGAAATTCAACTCTGGATGCCTGTGGCAGTGACCTCAGAAACCAGCCCTCCTGCCCCAGGGGCGGGGGTGGGGGGAGGTGTGGCCTGATTGTCCCCCACAGGCGCTCCCCCAAAGAGCCCGAGCTCTGCAACAGAAGCATCAAGAGTATAGGCCCCATTCTTGTAATCTGCTTTAAAATCCGCGTCCCCCTTGCACTCCCTTGGGTGGGACCTCGTCCTGGTTCCACCAGCACAGCTGGACGTGAAGAGGGCAAATCAGTGCCCCAGCCTGTCACTATAGGGTCCCCAGAGGGGCAGCATCAGCTCCCCAAAGCAGGCCAGGCTAGGGAAGGACTGGCCAGAGCCGTGGCATGGACAGAGGGCATGACCCCCGCCTCACAGGGGAGTCTTGGACTCCTGCCTCTGCCGGTGGGGTGGGGAGTCGGGGGCTTGGGGGAGGGGGCGCCCATTTGCTGCATCCCAGGATTTCCCTCATCTGAGCAAACTGTGCTTGTAAATTGGGGTTATCGCAGCACCACAAGATAAAGTGATGGGAACAGGAACAGGACAGAATATAGTATTGGGTATTTCAAAAAAGCCTTATCTCTGGCTGTGCCTCTGAGCACAGAACGTGCAGCACGAGCCTCCCTCTGCACCCCGGGGGCCAGGCCTGTGGCTGTCTTCCCGTCAACAAGCTCAGTTACGGGCCAGGGTCCCGTGGCTGCACCATCCCCCAGATCCTGGACCAGAGATGGCCCAAGTGGGGACCCCTTCCACGACTTCCCCTCCTCAGACGAGGGGGCCTGCTCTGTCCCGGCGGTCTTCTGAAACCGCAAGACGGAAAGCAAAACCAGCTGGGAAAATCTCACAAAAAAAGAGCAGATTATCACCTGCTGCTACCTGGAGCCAAAAACAAGAAGGCTTTGTGGGGCGATCCTCTGCTGTGCGTGACTGCAGGTAGGAAACTTTCCTCATTGCCTGCTGAAACGAGCCAGTTAAGCCAGGGCCTGGCAAGGAGGACCAAGCCTCCTCTGATCTTTGGCCAAAAGTGTCTCTACAGCCTCCCTCAGCCAATGGAAGCCATCATTGTTATTTTTGAGGGTGGTGGTGCTGATGGTGTCACTTTTTGCTGGGCTCCGGTTTGGTTCTTTGCGGATAAAAAGTGGCGTTGCCTTGTGGAGAGCAGAGGAGCCCTGGGGGTGGGGTGTGCAGAATGCTGGGCAGAGGGTCGAGTGCCCGCCGTGGGCTGTGCCCGGGGGCCTGGGAGATACAGGTGTGCAGCCACAAAAACAAGACCTGGGGAGACAAGTCCCCCGGCCTCCCAGGAAGGAGGCTCCTGGGTGTGGGAATGTTCTCTCTTGACCTGGGAGATGGTCACATGGTGGAAAAAGGTGTGAAAATGCACCTGGTTCGGCTTCAGGTGTTGCTGTGCTGTGTTCGCAACAAGACCTCCCACAGACCTCCCGCTGCACCGCCGCACAGCCCAGCAGGAGGAGCAGGGCCTGCGCCTCCCGCCCAGCCTCCTCGTGTCTCCTGGGGCTCCCGGAGACCAGTGATCTGTGACTTCACAGGTGGCTTGCAAAGAGAAGGAAGAGCCCCACCTCAGCTCTGGATCCTGACCTCGGCGAGTCTTTTCCTGCCGGTGAAGGGGAAATGCAGTGATTGTTTTTAAAAGGACCTTGCTGAAGCGACCTTTTAAGTCAGACCGGTATGGTGGTCATCAAAGCCCGCCCCAGGCGCAGTGTTGATGAAAAGCGGTTCCCCCCTTCAAGAAGGGGGTGCTCTCCGAAGGCGCCACAGCCCCGCCTGGGGCGGACTCCAGGAGGAGATGCCGCAGGACCGGACTCCGGGCGCCAGGCCGTTGTTTCAGTTGGCCGCCCCCACTCCCTGCAGCCCTCGGGGGACGTTCACCCCAGCCGCTGGGGAGCCCCGCCGCTCTGCCTGCAACGCTGGCCAACCGGAGTCCACGTCTTCTCCCAGGGGGCGTGGCGTGGCGCCGGCCAGCCAATGACAATGCTCCTGGTACGGGCAGAGCCAATCAGAGACCTTCCCTGGGAGTTTTTGCTCTGGCTGCAAGACCTCACGCTCCAGGCTAGCCTGAGACCCTGCCGCCTTTTTTTTTTTTTTTAAGGATTCTTTTATTTATTCCTACAGAACTGGGGTACAGGCCCCATGTGTAGGGGCGTTGAGAGGATTCACCAGGGGGAGAGTAGGGAGCAGGTCCAAGGAGTGCCCTGCTGAGGGGAGCAGCGGGCGAGGCAGGAGAGGTCTGCCGCCATGTGTGTTGGGGATTGAGCTCGCGCTGAAGGAGCTGTGGTTACTGGCAGTGCTGCGTCCCCATTTTGCCACCCCCGGGGGGCCAGACCCTGCCGTCTTAAAGCCTGCGCACCCATGAGCCAGCAAGGCCCTGAACGCAGAGCCACCAGGCCTCTGAGTCTAAGAGTTTCCTTTATTGCTAAACAAACAGCAGTTAAAGTATGTTCCTCTTCTTGGAATTCTGCGTGTTTCCCATCTCAGAGTAAAAGCCAAAGTTTGGCGGGTGATTATGACCCCGTCCCATCTGGCTTCAGCTGGTTCTCTCCCTGCTCCTCTTCTGTTCCTGCCCCTTCACGCAGCCATTTTGGTATCAGGCAAAAAGGGACTAACGAGGCCAGGGACGCTGCCCAAACAGCGTACCGGTCACTGTCAGGGCTTCTACCGGTGCACACTATTGTTCTCGGGCTCAGGGGAAAACAACGCAGGGGGTTATTTAACAAACCAGGGGGAAACGGGAGTTACTGAGGCCAATCATGGCCATTTGTTTTGCCCAAAGCCTTGTCCAGTATTTTTCAGTCCTGCACGGAGGCCATTAAAGTGGCGTCTTGCTGCCACATGGGAGGGAGCTCCAGCACAGCGCCGGACAGGCGACCCTCAAAACAGCAGCCGCCGCGGCCACACGGCCAGACAGCCGGACACGCACAGCTCAGCAAGACGCCCGGCCCCGCCCCCCGTCTCCGGCTCCTTCGCCTGGCCGCCAGGACTGCTCTGGAGCGGCTGCTCAGACAGGCGTGTGCATGGTGTCCACCCAGCAGCTCCACCCACGAAGCCCAGCGGAGCCTCCTGGCGGCTGTCACCAGCGCCCTCTCCGGGAGGCACCGTCTGTAAGGTTTACGGTTGCGCCGGTCACAAATTGAGCCACGCTGACTCTCCTGCTGAGCCACCCACACCCCAGGACTGTCCTGGCCTCTCTGCCTGAGGTTCTCTTCCCTCTCCTCCTCCAGGCATCCACGGGATTGGCATGTCACGTGTCCATGAAGCCTCACTGGCCCCAGAGGCCCACAGGGACCACCAAGCCTGCCCATTCCTTTACTACGCCGCACCCAACGCCACTTACCCCACGCCCGCCCCCGCCTCTCCTTTCCCTTGTCTGTCGGTGACGTGCATCACTTGATGACACACTGCAGTTTCTTCATTAGCCAACCGGCCACCCCAGGGAGCGGCTGCTCTTTGCTGATGAGCCACACTCGGCGGTCCTGGGCCTGCCAGTGGGCCACTGCAACATGTTGTATCAAACAAGGAAACAAGGGGTCCCAGTGGAGTCGCTCAGGGCGGAACAAGACTGAACCCAGATGCTCTGCTGGCCTCTCCCCAAACTGGAATTTAAGCCACCCTTCCTGGAGTTTCCTGATCAGCACCATGAAGTCATCTGCAGAGATGCCCCTACTTGCCCCCAGGGAGGTGGCTTTGCCAAAAGGATCTTTCTTTTGCTAATAGCCTGGTCCCACCGCTCTGACTATAAAAGCCTTCCATTTCTAGAGGCCCTGCAGAGCCTGCCTGCTGCTAGGGGTGCCGCCTCGTGGATTCACTCTACCAAGCCAATGCGTCTCCGTCTCCGAGTGGAGCCGATCGGTTGAGGTCTTCCTCTTCCACACAGGATCTTGCCCAGGAAAGTCAAGCGCACCAGTGTGGCTCTGGGTCCTGGGTCCCGGGCCCTGGCCCTGGCCCTTCCAGGCATGCCGGGGGAGCATGGGGAACAAGGCCAGAGTGTCCCTGAGTGGGACCAGCAGCTGGGCAGACCAGAACCAGGACAATAAAACTGGGGTCTTGCCCTCAGGACACCCCCCTTTGATAACCGATCGGGGCAGGAAGCCAGTTGTGGGTTTAGTTTATTTAGTTTGCATGTAACAGCACAAACACTCACCCAGCTGACTTGGGGCTTTGTGCCAGGCTGTTGGCCCCAAGGGCCTTTATGGGCAACACCATCCTGTCCTGGGCAGTAGTCACAGGAGGTAGTGGCCACGGAGTCCCTAGGCTCGGCACCCCATGCCAGGCTCATCAGAGACGCTGTGGGACTTAATCCTCCAGGCAGATGTGACCGTCAGTCCCTTTTAGAGGGATGGGAAGTGAGACAGCTTGTTGGCTGTGCTCAGCCTGGGCCCCAGGGCCAGATGTGGGCGAGGAAACCTCTCCATTCACTGTGTTTCCCTTGTCAGGGAGCC